GGAGGGGGCCAGGCTGCTGTGCCAGCTCTGAGCCCGGGAGAGAGCAGCGGCAGCCAAGGCAGGGTGTGCCAGGCAGGAATGGTGTGCTGGGCAGGAAAGCTGGAGCGTGGCAGCCGCACCAGCTACCAAATCCCGTCCCTGGGGTGGGATCTGAGTGGTGATGTGTTTGGGGTCCTGGCTGGTGGGAAGGGGGTGCACCATCTGCTCCGGGAAGCCTCTCCTGCTCACTGGGGTTTTCCTGCTGGGGGTCAGCTGGAGCTGCAGGAGGCTGAAGGGCTGGGTATGGTGGCTCCTGCCACTCCCTGTGATGGTGGTGGGAAGGTCACTGTGGCTTTGGCACCTGGGAGCCACCGGGCAGTGACAGGGAAACTTGACAGCTGAAGGAGAGAGTGGGTTTGGTTCGCCCTGTCCGGCTCGGGTGCAGCTGGTGGTGTCACTCAGCACGTGTGGCCGTCCCCTGCTGGGACACCAAGCGGTCACCCAGCTCCCAGGCTCCAGGTTTGGCCGCTCCAGGCTGCCAGATGCCTGCGGAAGTCGCTGACTGTGCTCCCGCTCCAGAGGGATGAAGGGGGAGCGGGGGGAGCGGGCGATGCCCTCTGCACTGTGCGTGACACCCCGTGTGTGACCTGGGAGGGACAGGCTGCCTCTGCAGCCGTGCTTTGGGGGGCCCTCCAGGCAGCTGGACCCCCAAGCCCATCCCGGCCCCGGGCTGTGGCAGCGCCGGGAGCAGCCGCTTATCAGCACGGGGTGAGAGGCAGCGCCGCAGCCGGCGCCGCGGAGCAGGTTTGGCCAGGGCAGCAACAGCTGGGCAGGTCGCTGTAATTACAGGTCAGCGGTGTTGTTTAACCTACTTGAGAACAGCCCGTGAAAGCCCGGGCACGGCGCTCACACGGGGCTCAGCCGGGGGGCAGCTGCGCTGCTGTTCCCTGGGAACAGCCTGGCGCTGGAGCGGGGTGGCAGGGACACGGGGCCCGGGGTTTGCCTCCTGCAGGGTTCCCAGGGCCAGGGTGAGCCTTGCCCGCCTGGACCAGGACAGCTGGAGCAGCTGCCAGCTGCCCTGCTCGCTGTTGGCATCCCACCTCAGGCTCATCCTTTGGGAAGCGCGGTGGAAGCTGGGGAGGGGTGTTCTGGGAGGCCTCCCCCAGGCAGGGAGCAGCCAGGGCTCGGCACGGCTCTCCAGGCTCCGGCTGGGTTACTTCCAGCATATCCACTGGACGCCTTTTGGTCCGTCCAGGATTTGTATCTCTGGGCCAAGAACTCTCTTTAATTGATTAATTTAATGAGGAGCTGCTGCCGAGCACATGGCTGTGGAAATGAGCCGAGGCCGGCTGGGCTGGAGGGGGGCCATGGGAGAGGGGACGTTCCTGCCTTTCTCTGGGAGGAGCGAGGGTCCCAGGCTTGCTGGGCTCTCAGAGAGGTGCTGATTTAGGATGGAAACTCCCTCGTGGGGTCCATTTGTCCATTCCTTCATCTCCCTGCTGGCCAGTCCCAGCTCCTGGTGTGGTTGGTTATCAGGCTCCCTGTCCCTTCTGGAGCCAGGACACGGACTGGTGCCATTGGGAAATGGTGCTGTGTGCACTCCCAGTGGGACCCAAACTTGTAGGAGGGTCAGGGCGTGCAGGGATTGATCGTGTTGGTGCCAGGGCCTTGGAGAGCCAGAGGGAGGAGAGGCATCCTGGGAATGGCTGTGCTCCAGGAGAGGGCAGGGGATGAGGGGCTGTGGAGGGGACGGGGAACCAGCAGGGAGGGACGGGCTTCTCTGGGCATGACTGGTGGCAAAAAGCCTGTCTTGCATCCAGGTGTGACTCAGGGTGCCCGAGGTTCCCAGAGTTCTCTCATGTGCTGCCAGGGACAAGTCCCGACAGCTCCTCTGGCGATGGGCGTGTTGCATCCTGGTCCAATCCTGAGGGGAAACCCGATGGGTGCTGCGGGACCTGTGTGGCTGTGATGGGGAGGAGCCTCCCTCCTCCTCCTCCTCATCTTCCTTTTCCTCCTCCTGCTCCTGAGGAGCTGGCGCCCGCTCTCCCCGGGGCTGTCCCTGGGGTCGAGGCAGGGCCTGCAGCCCCACGCTCTCTGTCCGGGAGAGCAAAAGGCCAGGAGCACCTCGTGCTCCCAATAAGGAGGTTCCCTCAGGGATGGGCAGCACCTTTGCTCCCTGTGGAGGACCCTGCTCCCTCCTGTGGGTGGGGTTGGTCCTGGGAGGTGGCTTTGTGGCCACTGGCTCCGTGGGGATTCCTGTCTCCCACAGCACGGGGGTGCCTGGGTGTGGGAGAGCCGGGAGGGCAGCAGGCTGCTGGGGAGGAGACCCCGGTGTTGTGCTCATGACTAGGAATGCTGCACCCCAGTTCTTCCCTCTCTGCCTGCCCCAGAGCTTTCCAAGGCAGCTGGATCTCTCCCTGTCTCTCGAGGATCCAGGCCGTGTGCTTGGCTTAGCCTGGCTGTTGGCTGTTCCCTGTGCAGGATGGTTGCCCAGCCACGGGCCTTCCTGGCTCCCCTCCATCTCTTTCCAGCAAAGGTTTGGGCTGGGATTTCCCTTCCTGGAGAGAGGAGCTCCTTCCACAGGGTTCCTGGAAGGGCATTTGCTACTTTTAGGGCTCCTCTGAGCCTCCTGCCCCTCTCCCTCTGGCAGAGAGCAGAGCTGGGGAGCTCAGCTCAGGGATGTGGGGTCCTTGGCTCTGGTGTGTTCTTCTCACTCTCCACAACTCCTTGACAGGAGGTTGGAGCCAGGTGGGGGTCGGTCTCTTCTCTCAGGGAAGAAGCGATGGGACAAGATTGCTTCAGATTGCGATTGAGGTTGGATATTAGGGAAAAATTCCTCATGGAAAGGGTTGTCCAGTCCTGGAACAGGCTGTCCAGGGCAGCAGTGGAGTCACCAGCCCACTGGTGGTGTTCAAAAAACACCAGTGTGGATGTGGCACTCGGGGACATGGTTCAGTGGTGGCCTTGACAGTGCTGGGGGAACAGTTGGACTCTGTAATCTTGGAGGGCTTTTCCAACCTGAGCATTTCAGTGGTTCCGTGATTGTGTGGTTCTTCCCTCGCTCAGGTTGTGGCCTGTTGCTGTCACGTAGGTCCTGTGCCTCCAGCACTGCTCTCCCAGGGTTTTGGAGCACGGATCGGAGAGGGCTCCTCCTCTCCAGCCTGTCCCAGCTGTGGAGAATCCTCCTGGCTGGCTTCCAGAGGAGGCAGCAGGGCTGGCAGGGCCAGTGCTAGGCTTGGAGCCGCTCCCCAGCCCGGAGCAGAGCTTGGGGTGACACACTGGGAGATGCTGTCCCGATACAGAGCGGGAAGGCAGCGCCCAGCGTGCCCGGGAGGGCGGCTCCTGAGGAAGGGGCTCTGGTGGGAAGATGGTTTGCAGGAGCAGCCTGGTCCTGTGTGTGGGGCCTGGAGGTGTCCCAGAGGAAGATGAGGAGGAGGAGGAGGAGGAATGTGTGGGTGTCAGAGCAGGGCTTGGCCCCGCTGCGCTGCTCTCAGCGCTCTCCCAAAGCCGAGGGTCTGCCTTCCCACTCTCCTGCTGCCCTCATTGCTGCACCTGGATGGGGACAGCCTTGGCCTTGGCTTGTGAGAGCAGGTCCCACTGATGGTTCCCACCCT